CTAAGCTGGCGCGTCACTCACTAAAGCTTTCCCTCTTTGTTCTACCTTCGAGGTTCTTGTGAAGCTCTCAGCATCCCCTGTCTCGATGCTTACGTCTTTGTTGCCTTCTTGCTTGCTTGGTTGCTTGGTTCTTGCTTGGTGCTTGGTTGGTTCTTGGTTGGTGCTTGGTTGGTGCTTGGTTGGTTCTTGGTTGGTGTTTGGTTGGTTCTTGGTTGGTTCTTGGTTGGTTCTTGGTTGGTGCTTGGTTGGTGCTTGGTTGGTTCTTGGTTGGTGCTTGGTTGGTGCTTGGTTGGTGCTTGGTTGGTTCTTGGTTGGTGCTTGGTTGGTGCTTGGTTGGTTCTTGGTTGGTTCTTGGTTGGTGCTTGGTTGGTGCTTGGTTGGTTCTTGGTTGGTGCTTGGTTGGTGCTTGGTTGGTTCTTGGTTGGTGCTTGGTTGGTTCTTGGTTGGTTCTTGGTTGGTGCTTGGTTGGTGCTTGGTTGGTGCTTGGTTGGTTCTTGGTTGGTGTTTGGTTGGTTCTTGGTTGGTTCTTGGTTGGTTCTTGGTTGGTGCTTGGTTGGTTCTTGGTTGGTGCTTGGTTGGTGCTTGGTTGGTTCTTGGTTGGTGCTTGGTTGGTTCTTGGTTGGTGCTTGGTTGGTGCTTGGTTGGTTCTTGGTTGGTGCTTGGTTGGTGCTTGGTTGGTTCTTGGTTGGTTCTTGGTTGGTGCTTGGTTGGTGCTTGGTTGGTTCTTGGTTGGTGCTTGGTTGGTGCTTGGTTGGTTCTTGGTTGGTGCTTGGTTGGTGCTTGGTTGGTTCTTGGTTGGTGCTTGGTTGGTGCTTGGTTGGTTCTTGGTTGGTTCTTGGTTGGTGCTTGGTTGGTGCTTGGTTGGTTCTTGGTTGGTGCTTGGTTGGTGCTTGGTTGGTTCTTGGTTGGTGCTTGGTTGGTGCTTGGTTGGTTCTTGGTTGGTGCTTGGTTGGTTCTTGGTTGGTGCTTGGTTGGTGCTTGGTTGGTTCTTGGTTGGTGCTTGGTTGGTGCTTGGTTGGTTCTTGGTTGGTTCTTGGTTGGTGCTTGGTTGGTGCTTGGTTGGTTCTTGGTTGGTGCTTGGTTGGTGCTTGGTTGGTTCTTGGTTGGTGCTTGGTTGGTTCTTCCTTGATTCTTGCTTACTCGATTTTTTTTGTCGGTTGGTTTGTCGTGTGTTTTTTTTTCTATTTTTGTTTGATTTTTTTTTTCTTTTTTTTGGGGGGGGCTTGGTTCTTTGATTACTGGCTGGCTCGAATCTCCTTTCCTTTTCGTTTTCGTTTCGTTTGGCTTATTATTGTTTATTTTTTGCTTGCTTTTGTTTGGTAATCTGGATGGTGGTTCTTGTTTTTTTCGATCCAAATTGATTATATATATATTTTTTTCTTTTTCTTGCTTACCGTCTTCTTCCTGCTTTCTGAGCGCGTCATCTTCTGTTTCTCTCGATCTTCTCTCACTCTCTTCTCTTCCAGTCTCTTTTTGTCTATTTATCTATCTATCGATCTGTGGATATCTCTCTTTCGTTTCCTCTATCTATCTCTCACCATTATTTTCACTCTCTTTATCTATATTTCTGTTACTTCATTTCTCCCACCCTCCCTCCCTCTACCCCCATCTTCCGTTCTTCATCTCCTCGCTTCCTTCTCTCTCTTCCTCTTCCCTTCTCTTTTCCTCCTTCTCCTCTTCCTCTTCTTCCCCCTTACCACTCATCCCCCTATCCTCCTCCTCCCCATCCCCCTTATCTTCCTCCTCCCCCTTCCCCCACTCCTTCTTCTCCCCTCTCCCTCCTCTCTCCCCTTCTTCCCCTCTCATCCCTCCATCTTCCCTCCTCCCCTCCTCATTCTCCTCTCTCCCCCTTCCTCCATCTCCTTCTCCTCCTCCTTCCCTCCCCCCCCTCCCCCTAATCCTCCTCCCTTCCCACACCACCCCACCCCACCCCTTCCCACCCCACCCCACCCCTCCCCTCATCCTTCCCCACCACCCCCCTTCGTCCTCCTCCTCCTCCTCCTCCTATAACCCCCCCTCCTCCCCCTCCTCCACCTCCCTCCCCCAATCCTCCTCCCTCCACCTCCCCCCCTACCCCCCAATCCTCCTCCCTTCCCCCCCCCCTCCTCCGGCCAGCCACTCTTCCCTTCCCTTCCATTAGGGTCCCCGGCCTGCTCACTCTCTCCGGCTCCTCCATTAAAGTCCTCTGATTTTCATATCCAATCCTTGCTCACCCGCTTCACGACGGCTCTTCCCGGGCGGTGGGATCTTTCTCTTTATTGGATGTGTGTCTTTATTAGGAGATATTATGGATTCAGTATTTTTGGTGCGTGTTTTTTTATTTTTTAGATCTTTTTTTATTTATTTTTTTATTATTTTTGAGATTTGCTTTTAGGTTCTTCTTTTTTTTTTAGATTTTTTTTTTTTGATTATTATGAATCGGTGATTATTTTTGAGACTTGCTTTTCGATTTTTTTTTTTAGATTATCATGAATCGGTGATTATTTTTGAGACTTGCTTTTCGATTTTTTTTTTTAGATTATCATGAATCGGTGATTATTTTTGAGACTTGCTTTTAGGATTTTTTTTAGATTACTATAAATCATTAATAATTATTGAGACGTTTTTATATACCTTTTAAGATTATAATAAATTATTAATTATTTTTTTCACTTTTTTTAGAGAGTTGTTTGGAGATTATTATTAGATTAATTATTATTTATTTTCTTGGGGGGGGGGAGGGGGTTCTTTGCCTGTTGTTTGCATGGCTTTGTTGGCTTTGTTTGTTTGTTTAACTTCTATAGATGGGTTTTCTTTTTGTCTGCTGGTCTGTGTAATTGGTTCTGTGTTGTTTTTGGGTCTGCCATGCTCTGGCCTCTCTTTCATTTCTGTTCTTCTTCTCCTTGTCTCTCTCTCTATCTCTATCTGTGTGTCTGTCTGTGTATGTCTATGTCTGTCTGTCTGTGATTGTCTATGTCTGTCATTGTCTGTGTTTGTCTGTCTGTCAGTGTCTGTTTTTGTCTATCTGTCTCTGTCTGTCTGTGTTTGTCTGTCTGTCAGGTTCTGTCTCTGTCTGTCTGTGTGTTTGTGTGTGTGTCTGTCTTTCTCTCTTTATCTCCCCCCTCCCCCCCTCCCCCCCTCAGCCGCACAAAGCCTCCGTCCCCAAGAGCCCCTGTTGCAGGTCGTTGCCTCGCACGTGTACCTCTTCCTCCTCCTCCTCCTCTTTTTCTTCTTCTTTCTTCTCTCTTCCTCCTTCCCTTAACCCTCCTGTTCCTCTTCTTCTTCTTCTTATTTCCTTCCTCTTCTTCTTCTTCTTTTTATTATTATTATTATCATAATTATTATTATCATTATTATTATTATTATTATTATTATTATCATCATTATCATCATTATTATTATTATCATAATTATTATTATTATTATCATTATCATTATTATTATTATTATTATTCCATCTCCTCCTTCTCTTACTCTTCTTCTTCTTTCTTCTTCTTTCTTCTCTCTTCCTCCTTCCCTTCCTCCTCCTCTCGCCTCTTCGTCGCCCTCGGCCACTCAGCCACTCACCCTACAGAGTCATCAACGTGTTTTACGCTCCTGCAGTTTCTTCAAGATCTTTGCGCCTTTCACCAATTCTTCTTTATCGGCTTATGCTCCTTGTCTCCCTTTTCTCCTTTTCGCCTCTCTGCACTGACGTTCTCTCCTTCCCTCTCCTTCTGTTCGTTAGATTCCGTTCTTTCCTTTTCCTTTTTCTGCTCCTCTTTATCCGTTCCTTCCCTCTCCTTCTCCTTCTTTTTATCTTCTTCTTTTCCTCCTGTTCATCCTCCTTACTTCAGTTCTCTTCCTCCTTCCTTTCGTCTCCTTCCTCAAACTCCCTCTTCATCTACCCTTTTCCCTTTCTTTCTTCTCCTCTTTCCCTCCGCCTATCACTAATGGTCTCTCCTCTCCCTTCCTTTCCCCACTCTCGCTCCTTCTTCTTTTTATCTACTTCTTCTCTCTTCCCTCTTTTCACTCTGCAATTAAGGCTCCTTCTGCGTGTGATGGAGAGACTCTTCCCGGGGACGCCCTTCAAAAGTTTATGATAGCTTTGGGAATACACACACACACACATACACATACACATACACATACACATACACACACACGCACACGCACACGCACACGCACACAAAAATATATATGTATATGTATGTGTGTGTGTGTATGTATATATACATAGATAGATAGATAGATAGATAGATAGATCGATAGATGTCTATGTAATGATAATAATAAAACAAAAATAATAATAACATGAAAAATAACAATAACAATAGAAACTATAACATTTATTATCATTAATATAAAAACGATTACAATAACAACAACAATAACGAAAAAAAAACACCAACAGTAATATCAATAACAGTAGCAACAATAAAGAAAACGACACCAACTCAATCAACGGCAACCTCTCGTGCACAGAAATTGCTCGTCGACGCCTTAATAGCAAGAGCTTTTTCCAATCTGTCTTCTGTAGTTTATAATTTCCTTTAGATCTTCTCGCCTTCTGATCCTGAATGAGATGGATGGAATTGTGTCAAGATCGATGGAGTTTTTTTTTTTGTTCCCAGTGTGTTTTTTTTTTTTTTTGGGGGGGGGGTATTTTATTTTTGATTTTGTTTTGTTTTTTGTTTTTCATTGTTTCGTGTGTATTATGTTTTGGTGCGGTTTTGAATCTCATTTGATTGTTTTTTTGTTTTTTTTTCTCTCTCTCTCTCATTTCTTGCTTTGTCTACCTAATTCTTCGTATTCCTCTCTATCTCTCTCTCTCTCTCTCTCTCTCTCTCTCTCTCTCTCTCTCTCTCTCTCTCTCTCTCTCTCTCTCTCTCTCTCTCTCTCTCTCTCTCTCTCTCTCTCTCTTCTTCTTTCACTTTCTGTGCTGTGTGGTGCAGCGGTAGCGATCTCGTCTAGCAATCTTGCTGACCTGCGTTCGAATCCCTCGCCACCAGTGGATGGTAACCCCGGTCATTCCTTGCACACAGGGGATAATTTAGAAGCAAAATAAAACAGACAGTATGTCACAGCAAGAATATCCATTGTAACAAATGGAATCAAACTAAATTAAATTAATTAATTAATTCTCCCTTTCTTCCCATTTTCTTGCCCTCCCTTCTTTTCGTCCCCTTCCCTTCACCTTTCCCCTCCCTTCTTCTCATCCCCCCCCCCCTTTTCCCTCTACATTTGAACACGTCACGCATACCCTTGACCTTCTAAGCACTCGTTTTCTTGGAGCAATTTTCCCCTCAGAGCGCTCAGAACTCTCCCCTCTCCCCCACTCCCCATCCTTCCCTCTCTCTCCTCTCCATCTCTCACCTCTCTCTCCACACACTTCCTCTCTCATCTCCTCTCCTCTCTCACCTCCCCATCTTTCCCTCCATCATTCCCTTCCCTCCCCACCTCCCCATCATCTCCTCCTCCTCCCCTCCCCTCCTTCCCCCTCTTCCTCCCATCTCCTCCTCCTCATCTCCTCCCCATCATCCACTTCCTTCCCCTACCCTCTTCCTCACTTCCCTCTCCTTTTTCTCCCCTCCCCATCATCCCCTCCCCTCTTTCTCCCTCCCTTCCCCTCTTCCTCTTTCTCCCCTCCCCTCTTCCTCTTTCTCCCCTCCCCTTCCCCTCCCCCGACTTCCGTGCGAGTAAGGATCTGCCGTGAGGAGGCGGAGGCCCCGGAGCACGCAGCTTATACGAGACTTCCTGCAGCTACTGTCGCGGCCGCTGGAGGATCGCCGTCGCTTGAAACGCTCTCGGGTTGTCTCTTATATGAGCTTTGTTTTTTTTCTTAGACTTCATTTTTATTATTAATGTGTCTCTTTAACACTATTTTGGCAGAGCGGTAGAGGATTGAGGTGTCTTTCTATCTACATATATATAGATAGATAGATAGATAGACAGATAGATATGAATATATATGTATATCCATTTACATATATGTATTTATTATTCTTTTTTTTAAAATGAAGAAATGCTTGTTACTTCAATGATTTGAATCTAATCACTGACCTCTAACCCCCCCACCCCCACCCCCTACCCCCCCCCCCCCAAAAAAAAAAAAAAAAAAAAAAAAAACACAAATCAAGGAAATTCCTGCGTCACCTCCCGAGTATCTCTGCATCGCCGCCCGTCCACGTCACGCGAGATCGGGCGTAGATGCCAGCGTCCCGGGTCGTCGGCGTGAAGGAGGAGGCGATGTGGCGATAAGACCGAACTTAAGCCACGTAAAGGAATAACTCCTTAGATATTTTTAAAAAAGAAGAAGAAGAAGGAGAGAGAAAGACAAAAAAAAAGTAAAGAAAGAGGATATCAAAGAGAGATATGATAAGATACAACAGGGATAAGAGAAAGATAACAAGATGAAATCACGATAAAGCATAATAGAAATAACAGAAATAAACAACTTGAGGAA